TCTAATCAATTATTTTTCTTTTAAAAGGAGAAAACAGGTAATATAAACCTTAGGAATCTAAAAAATTATTGATAATGCCAGGACACCGAAACCTGGACTGGATTGACAGATTTTTAAAGGATGTATAAAAATTAAAAAAAACAATTTTTTTTTTTATCGAGTTCCAAAAATTTAATATATATATATTCTATTTCTTCTTTTTCTTAATTATTTAGAACCATAAGTGTTTTATCGGTGGCGATCTATTGAATGTGGGAAAGACTATCTGTATTAAGGTGGAATCTTCTGGGACAATGTACAGTTGTGAAAGAATATTCGGTAAGGGTCATTATTCATCTAGCTAGATTGTCTTGAGATAGTTTAACTTCAAATAAGTATTTAAGGGCAGAATGGTTAGTATATAGAATGAATCGGCTTTCATATAGATAGGGGCGAAAGTATCCTATGGCCCATATGATAGCTAAACATTCCTTTTTGATAACAGAATAATTTTTCTCAGCTTGGGTAAGACTTCGACTTGCGTAGGATATAACTTGCTCATAGCCTTTCTCATTCTTTTAGGATAATATAGCACCTAATGCAATGTTGGAAGCATCGATGAAGAGAATGAAAGTTTTATCAAAATCTGGGTATGCTAAAATGGAAGTGGTAATTAATTTTTCTTTTAAGGCTTCAAAAGCCTTTTGTTGTTCTTCTTTCCACGCGTAAGTCTTATTTTTCTTTAGTAGTTGGTTAAGAGGTGCAGAGATTTTGATAAAGTTTTCAATAAACTTTCTATAATAAGAGGCTAATCCCAAAAATCCTCTTAATTGCCTCAAGTTTTTAGGGATGAGAAAATTCTTTACTGCTTCTACTTTTTGAGGGTCAATGGATATACCTTCTTTTTTGACAATATAACCTAAAAATTTTATCTGTTAACGGCCAAAGAAACATTTGGAGGACTTAAGAGTAAGACCAACCAAGTTTAGCCGCTCAAAAACTATTTTTAAATGCATGAGATGATCTTTGAAAGATTTTGAATAAACATTAATATCTTCTAAGTAGACGACAACACACACTCCTATCAAGTCTTGGAAAAGGTAATCTATAAGATGTTGAAATGTGGCCAGCATGTTTGTTAGCCCAAAAAGCATAACATGGAACATATAGACACCGAAATGGGTAGTAAATGCAGTTTTGAGCTTGTCTATTTCTTCAACTTCGACTTGCCAATATCCATTGGCAAAGTCAAGAAAAGTATACCAGGATGATCCATTTAAAGCATCCAAAAGGTCTTGAATACGAGGTAGAGGATAGTTGTCTTTTTGGGTTACCAAATTGAGCTTTCAGTAATCTGCACAAAACCTGGTTTGACAATCAGGTTTAGTATCAATACTACAGGCGATGTCTACGGACTTTGGCAAGGTTGGATTAACTCTTCTTTTAACATTTGGTCAATTTCAGTTTTAATTATTTTCTTTTCAGCAAGTGAATGCCAATATGGATTATGCTTAATAGGGAAAGCGTTCCCTGTATTGATGCTATGCTTAATTAAATTTGTACGTCCTAACCTATGACCTTCCCACGCGAATAATGCTGAATAAGACTTTAAAAAATCTTGACGCTGTTTATCTTGTTCTTCATTTAGGGTATCTAAATTAAAATTATCTCTCCTACTAATCTCTTCTCCAAAGTAATAATCGAATATATTACTAATGAGATTAATTTAGGCTTACTGGAGATGTAGCCATGAAGATCCGGCTTAACTTCCTCTTCCCAAAAATAAGCATTTTTAGCCAGTCATATAAGCACTTAGCGGAAGGAGACTTGAGTTTTTCTTTCTTTAACTTAATTAGTTCTTGAATTTCATCGATTTCACTATTGGCATCAGAATTATTCTCATTATACTTATACTCTGGAATTTTTCTTTTCCAAGCAGATGTGTACCACTTGAAACATGAATTACTAGACTCATCCGAGTCTTCTTCAAGAAATATCATGGCCAGATTAGAAACGGCGATAAATGGGAATACTATCTTGTTAACTTTAATAGGGTTAGTATTAGTTAAGAATTGTTGTTAGTTATTAGCAGGGTTAGTAACATGAATATTATTATTAAGGAAATTTTTGTTAGGAAAAAGTGAGGCGTCACTACTAGAGGTTATTGCCTGAAAATAAACTAATGAAAGAGGATTGTTCGAATTAGGTAATTGTAAAGGTATTTCCTTACGAATATAATTTAATGGTAAAGGTTGTAAAATGTCAATAAAGACTTTTTTTAGTAATATAGCTAGGTATAGAATAGTTGAATTATTGGACCTAAACTCTAAATTGTTTGAAGCATTAAGGGAACACCCTAATTGGACCTGAAGTTGAGACATATAAAATCTTAATTCTTCAAAAGAGGTTACTACTGAAGGAGTTATAATTAAAGGTAAAACATTATTATGAATTTTATCTGGAACTATATTTTTAAGTTAAATGCTACTACTACTAGATTTTAATTCTTCTAGGAGAACCTACACAGGTAAAGTTGCAAATAAGGATAGATTATCATTTTGAGGGGTAACTTTATTTAAAGATAAAATACTATTAAAATCATCATTGCTATTAACTCTTGGAAATGAAGAAAGAGTTAACGGGATAGTAACCGAAGAAACTGGACATGACCCTATTGATTTTAAAGAATCAAATGAACTAGAACTAGGGGCTTTTGATTCACTAGATGATTTAGACAAAGGTAACTTTAAAAGCATATTAGTTGAGATGATTGTTTCTTTAAAATCCCTAGAAGGATTAATGTTATTTACTCTTTGAAACCCCGACAATTCCAAAGAATCTGAAAGATAGTTATTTTCTTCCAAACCAGAGTAATTATAAACTCTCTCTTTTAATTCTTTATCATCATATTCATCATCACTTGAATCTTCATCTAATTCTTCATCTTTTTCTTCATTTAGGCTTTTTACTTTATTAGGACGATTCTTATTTAAAGGTTTCGATGGTAATCTTTTGAATTCGACAGGAACAATTATTTCTTGGTCTTGTCAGATAAAGGTCATTTTGGTGGTAGTCCAGTCAATTTTAGCTTGGACCTTAGAAAGCTAATCATTTCCAATGATGGCATGATATGAACTAGCATTGGTTATGACTACGTCGATGGGAATTTCTATACTGGCTATAGTGAAAGGGAAGTTGAAGATTTCCTCTAGGGCTCATTTGCTTTCTCCATGTACATTTACCATGTTTATGGTAGAGGGTCTTTCAACCTTAATACCAAGGTCATAGAGTAAATGAGAGGTAACAACAATACCGGAGAACTAACTGTCAACTATTATAGGCACCTCTATACCAAGAATGGTAGCATCACAATATAGAGCTGTGGATTTGCTATTAGGAACTAGATTAATATTAACCTTTGTCTTTCTTTTAGGAATGGTCTTTTTTTTTGTATAAGCTTCAAATTAATTCAGTTCTTATAGTAGGAATGGTGTGAAGAAGTTGTCCAATTGTAATATTAGCCGGTTTATCACATAGGTCAGTGATAATGGAATAGGATGGAACCAAGGATGATATTTGGGGTATCTCATCTTCAGAAACTTTTCGTCTAATTATCAGGACACGTTTAGGCTTAGCCATAGGAACCTTAGAAGGGTTATTTATATTCTTTTTTTTATTTATGTTATTTTTTTCTTTATTTAAATGGTCTTTTTCTTTTTCTTGTTTATCCTTTTCTTGTTCTTTTTCTTTTTCCAGCAGTGATTCTAATGATTCTTCCACACTAGACTCTAGATCACCATCCTCTTCTCGAAGACATTTCGAAGGCTGAGACTTCACAGTTAAAAAGGGTATGTCTTCTTCAAATAAATTGAGAAAGGTGGTTTGATTATTAGCAGTATTTTGGTTATCTGAATTATCTTGGGCCAGGAAAGAATTTAAACTAGCTGCTATAGCTAGTAAGGCTTGTAAAGACACTTGAGGTTGCATTTCCGATGCGTTACCCGCATTAGAGTTAATATTAGTATTAGCATTATTATTATGGGCAGAGTTAAGATTAGCAGGCATAGAGGTATTTTGGAAATTTGTATTAGGGTAAGGATATATGACAGGATTCAGGATTTGACTGGGACTATACAATTGATTTAGGGAAGGGTAACCTTGGGGTGTATTAGATAGGGCATTTGGGATATTGGTGGCATAGCAGTTACGACTAATATGACCTGCTCTTCCACACTTATAACAGACTATTCTGTTAAAGTTTTCTGAGGTAGATGTGTGTCGTTCTTGCAATTGGGTTAACATTTTATTTACAGCTTCGGTTAACTTATCGATGGCTGTCTCAGAAGTTACTACTGAAGGTGTGGAACTAGCAGATATATTTGGGATAGATTGAAAGGAATACAAAGCACTGATGGAGTAGGTAGGAACAGACGGTTTTGTTTACAGATACCTTTATAGGCTTTGGTGGGGTTGTATGCCGCCTGTAATATGTTGGGAGTGAAAGAAGCAATGGCCAGCACAATATTGAGTTGCAATCCATTCAAGAAGAGTTGGGCTTTAGCAGTTTTCGGGTAGGGTTGAGCTCCAGTTTCTATTCGACAAAGCAATTCTTGAATTGTGGTGTGATAAGTATCAATGTCTTCTCCTACTTGCTGCTTACGGGTAGCCAATTTGGCAAACCATTTTCCTTCCAAAGCAGGGGTACGAAACTGAATGATAAAGTGGGGATAAAAACTTGTGTTCGGGTGGGTCAGGTCATTCTAGGCATTAATAGGGTTTAGTGGTCACTGTGTGGTTGTCCACCAAGTTGCTGCTGCACCCTTTAGATAGGGAATGATAATCGGAATTTGGCAGTCATTAGTTACAAGGTTAGCAGCAAAAGCCTTTTCGACCTTATCGAGCCAAGTTATGGGGTCCTGGTCCCCACCCATAAAATCAGGATATGCCACCAGACTCAATTCTCTATTGGGAGGGTTATAATTAAACTGTGGGGCCAGAGCTGCTTGTATCTGTTGAATTAATAGCCCAATTTGTGTGGCTAAATTGTTAACTTATTCAATGGTTGCGGCTGTTGAGGTGGTTTAGGTTGCTGAGGTGGCTGCGGGGAATAACCGGCTGCTGTGGTGGGGGAGTCGGATTACCGGCAACAGGTCGTTGTGACAGATTAACTGTGGGCAGGTTAACCGGATTCAGAGGATTATGTTGAGCCATGATAATTGATAAGTTTCAAATAATTCTTAATATTAAGGTCTTTTAAAAGTTTTAAACTATCCTGTTTATTTAATTAGCATGGGGTGTTTATGTAACTTCCACACACTCAGCACCAAATGTAATGGTTGTGTTTGGGAGAGCAAGGCGATTATAGACAAATAGTGCCAATTTGAACTCCAACTGATTATGGGATTGGGTTTATATAAATAAAGGAAAATATAAATAACTTAAACTAATCAATTACAGTAAACTTTAAATAATAATAACTAAGAATGCAAATGTAAAAGTGATGAATTAAAATAATTTGGGAATAATATCAAGAAGTAATACTTCTTAGAATGGTGAAAGAGATATAATTGATTGATAATGACGTTAAAGGAGAAGAATTTTGAATAATATATATATGACTTAAATAAATCAGTCTTAAAAGCAAAGGTTAATATGTACGTGATGAAAATATGATATCAACATAATTTGATATTTAGAGCAATAATATGATCTAAAGTTGATATATGGATACTTTATATTTAAGATTATATCTTATTTCAGTTGTTCATAAAATCAGCTAATGCTGGTGATGCCAAAGAAGGTGTGACAGTTTACTTTCACATCTTCAAATTAATCTTTTCTTAGGATGAAAAAAATTTCAAACGAGAATCACGTGACCAAGTTCCAAAACGTAAAGATGCTATTATACAGAATTTTGAGTCTCAATAATCCTTTTTGAGGTTATGAGTCAATTCAGTTCGTCGAATTGAGTTACGAAAGTTTTATTAAAGTTCAAGTCGAAATTTACAAAAGGATAAGTATATATTTCATTACTTTGTGTCATTAAAAGTAAACATGGAACTTTTTCAACTTTATTAAAATTTTCGGACTTATATACATAAAATTCTTAGAGAATGTCTACATTATATTATAAGCGAATTCATTCTAATATGAATGTATAAATTCTTTTCTACATGAATACGCTTTAATTTGAGTGATTATGCTCTTGGTTGAGGATCTACATATTTGTGTAAGCGCGTATACGCACTATTTAGAACGTTCACGCGTTTTCATGAGATAAGCCACCAAGCCACAATCAATTATCTATTTAGTATAGTTAATTGAATATTTCCATCATGACTATACTACGTGGGTACTGTTATCAAAATGGAATTGGTGGAAGTAAATAAACTATATACAAGAAAATATCTAAACTAAATAAAAACTGGAATAATAAAAATAAATTAAACAAAAATAGAAAAAAATAAAAATAAAATAAAAATAAAGTAGACTAAAAATTATTTGTTACACTACCCACTTCAACACTTATTTTCAATAAATTAATTATGAATCATCCTATATGAACTTTTTTTTTTGTGTAGCATAAGTTTACTCATAATAATTAAATTTTAATTGAGTTAAATTTAATTAATGATTTCAATGTACATCTTTAACTTTTAAACCATCTAAATTACATTTTGTGGATGTTAGTAGCTCACCCACAAAAAATTTTCCGGTCATGTGACTTTTTTATGGCACTAGCCAATTATATTTCAAGATCAGGTGTAACGTGAAAATCAAAACAATCAAAACAATCGAATAAAACAAAAGAATTAAAGTAACAAATTGAGAGTTAAGGTTTGGGTTAGACACTTTGTTAAAGTGTTGCTATTATCAAAAATTTGCAAGGAATTTTTTTTGTTAATGCGCAGAAGACGATTTCATAGACAAATTTTAGAGTTTTTAGTAATTTTTTATAAAAAAATATAAAAAGCGTAATTTTTACGTTATACCTGATCCTGAAATTCAATTGGTTTGCGCCACGATAAAGGCATGTGACCAGAAAATTTTTTGTGGTATAATTACATAGGTTACATTTTGTGGCATTATGTTTTGCATAATATAACATGCATAGTACATCTCTAAATTAGAGATGGAAAAAGTCAGTTACATAATATTACTTAATATTACCTTGAATAAGTATTATTAAGTAATTTTACAATATCAATTAAGTCATAGGTTTATAATTATATGCTTTTAGTAGAAAATGATGATCTTTTGCATAAAAATCTTAGATATTTAATACAAAAAGAAATTTTTTTGGAATGAAAACATTTATTATAGTGAAGAAAACTTGTAATCTATTTAATTTCAATTAACTTTAACAATTCAAGGATGATATAATGAGATTGATGATTATATGAAAGGATCTAATCTATTTCTACTAAGTTTTCCTTGTAAAATTCTTTATAAATTTTATTCAATCTGGTCTCTAATTTAATAACACACTATATTCAAGTTATGCCTTTAATAATTCATGGACAAAATTTTTTGACTTATGATACTGTAACCCGGAAAATTTGCCTTCCGGCAAATTTCGCTGATCGTATGTTAACGTCGCCACCACAGCAATTTCGGTGTCATCGATCATCGATTTATTTGAGCACTGTATGCCAGTTTTGTCAGTGTCAACATTGTTGCCAATTCTGGCCTTACTGGGAGTACTAGCTATAACACAATAACAATAATAAAATTTCCGGCCGTTTTAAAACTATGCTGGAAGCTAAAACGACACATAGTAAATACCTGCCATTAAATAAGTGTCATTTTTGATTCATATTATATTAAAATTTTATTACTCGTATATTTGATGTATCAAAAACGATCCTTAAAACAATGGGCAGCGGCGCAGTAAATGGCTGCCATATACTATGTGTCATTTTATCCCTGGCCGGAAGTCAACTCAATAAACGGTGCCCTGATTTACTATTATTGCATACCAGTGATTACACGAGATCAATTTTTTAGATCACAATAGCGACAGAAGGAAACGTCCAAATATAGGGGTCATCTAAAGTGGAGGAAAATCATGTGATCAACCGCCAATCAAATTATAGAAATTTGTTGATCCCGAATCAGCCCGACAAAGCAAAACAAAAATAAAAAATAGAACCGTAAAAAATAGAAAAAACGGCAGTCTAAACCTACCTTTGTGTATTAATAAAAAATGCTGGGAAGACAATTTTACATATATAAACAACTCCTAACCCTAATCTTAAAGTTAATCGAACAAATTATTAAGAAATACGAATTCTCTACGCTTTAGACATCCCCCAAATATAGATATGATTTTCACTCTCCATTACACAGATCACTCATTGTATTGACCAGTCAAAATATGTATTACTACGGGATTAGTCAACCAATCAAATTGCGAAATTTACAAAAAGACGAAACCATGGTATTCAAGGGGATTCAAAAAATATGTTGTAAAGCAAAGTGAGAGCTTCATGTTTGTTTAAACATTTTCAATATTCATAGAAAAGATAAGTCAAATGAGCCTTCCAAAAAAGAATTGTAAAATAATATAAAAAAATTTTTTATCAATTGTGTAACGATTTTGTGACGTTCAATGTTTCATCCTGTTCATTTTGTCTTACTCATATGATGACGATAGGTTTCACAATATTTTTTTTTACATCTGTATATAGCTATAAATTCTGACATTAATATTATTCGTTCTTATTTTTTTAAAAAAATGAAT